ATCACTTAGGGCAAGCATGTCAAACTCATGTAAGTCCTGTGTGAGGTTGTGGTGTGGGGAAAAGGTGATGGTGAGCTTCCCCATGGTGACAGGCTAGGGCTTAAGGTCTGTTCTCCATGAAGTTAAGGCTGAGAAAGGTGTCCCTGTCTTCCCCTATTGTTCACAAGAAACGGACGGAGCCCTCCCTCTGTGACAGGCATTCCCGTCAGGAGAGTGGGCGAGGGGACCTGGCTCCCCCAGGGACTTGTTCCTACCAGCGCTGGATTTTCGTGGGGCCGGCTGTACAGTAACAGCCCGGAGCCTGGCTCCAAATCCAAACTTACAGGACAGTCCCGGACATGGGAAAACAGACTAAAGCCACTTACCTATGAATCTATGCCTCGTGTTGATAGAGGAAGAGGCAAGGCAAGGAGAGGTCCACTATCCAGTCACAGGCACGACCCAGACCAGTCTGGAGGAAGGCTAGCGGGGCCCAAGTAAGTGTCACAAGTTCAGCAGAAGTTCAGCCATGCAGAAGCGTGGCTGGGGGCCTTCCCTGGACTCAAGGGGAGCTCAGGAGCCGGACAATCATGGTCTCTCTGAATGCCAAGTGCCTGGTTGCTGGAACCCTGCAATGGCTCTTACTGGACCCCTCACTAGACCTTCAGGGTGTTTGGCACTAAATCAGCAGTTCTCAACCTGTGGGTCGTGACCCCTTTGGGGGTCGAACGACCCTTTCACAGGGGTCGCCTAAGACCATCGGAAAACACGTATATAATTATATATTGTTTTTGTGATTAATCACTATGCTTTAATTATGTTCAATTTGTAACAATGAAGTTGGGGGTCACCACAACATGAGGAACTGTATTAAAGGGTCACGGCATTAGGAAGGTTGAGAACCACTGCACTAAATGAAAGATTCAGAGTGGGCCAGGGTCGCACACCTATGACTTGAGGCCATAATGTATCAAAACAGATTTTTATTCCAGGCACCTGGGTGCAGGTGGGCTGAGTCCCACAAAATGGAGTCAGCCAAGACAGAAGGGAGAAACAGGTTTTTATTACCTTTGCTGGCTGCAAGCCGCTCTGCCAATGTAAGGTTCTGGTCTGTTCTTGGTTCCTCCCAGTGTCAGGTGGCTAGTGGTTATCTGGGCCATGCGGTGCTCAAGGTTGCAAGCTTTCTGCAAGATATCTGCTAAGCGCAGTAAGTTTTCTCTGCCCCGGTTTATTCTCTTGAACCCTTTCAGCACCCACTGTGCCTGCCCTTTGAAGGGCCTTCCCAGCCACAGGCCCAGGACCCTCACGCTGCCCTGGGGTTGTCCAAAGGCCTTTCATCAGGCTTCATCCTAGCAGCCCTCCCTAATCCTCTTTGCCATGCCCCATTCCTTCTAAGCTGTCATCTTATTAAGGAACCTATTTTTTATTATCATCAACGTGTTAATATCTGAAAATGTATTAATGCAAACTTTTTGAACTGTGGCAGGGAATTGGGGGCATGTGAAGGCTCCACACTAACATGAATGAGGGGGGGGTGCTCTATTTGTATGGGGCATTTAAAATAAAGATAAAAATGAAAACTTCAAAGGCATTTGATGCTTGTGGCCACTCGGAGCTATGTATTCATCCAACAAGTTTTTACTGAGTATCTACAATACACTGTTGTCAGCACTGGGCATAAGCAGTGGACAAGGTACGGAAGGTTGTTGTTGTTCTCCTGGAGCTTATATTTTAGTGGAGGAAAAACAGAAAACAAGTCAACCAGATAATTTCAGAGAGTGACGTCTGCTGTAAAGAAAACCAAGGGGAGCAACGTGACAGAGAGTGATTGGGAGTCACGGGGAGGCCCCTCTGAGGAGGTGACATTTGAGCTGAGACACAAAGGTCAAGAACAAGTTAAGCAAGCCCCCAGGAAAGACTGATCCCAGTGGCAAGTACCAGGGGCAGAGAGGCAGAGGTGGGAATCCATGTGGCACATCCAGGGAACAGCCAAAGGCCATGGTGGCTGACATGTGCTGGGCCAGGGGGAGAGCGCCAGGAGATGCAGAGGGAGGTGCAGAGGGGAAGGAAGGCAGACCCAGACCTTGGCAGCAGGTCATGATGAGGAGCTTGACCTTTGTTCTACCTGCAGGGGGAGGTCATTAGCAGGTCGTAAGCAGGGGAATGGCCTAATAGACTTTACACCATAAAAGCCATCACTCCAATTGCTATTTGGAGAATGTGTGAGGCAGGAGTAAAAGCAAGGAGGCTGGTTGGGAAGTTGTAGCCCTCACACAGGCGAGAGATATTGGTGGCTTGGTCAGGATGGCAGATGCTCTGCTCCAGGTTGCCCGTGAAACATGGTCACTTTCCTCTCCTGTACATAGTCAGGAAATATTCAAAGGCTGTACCACTGTCTGCGGGTTATAAATGTCTGCACTCATGGGGGTGCTGATGAAGATGCTGTATCGACGGGATCCAAAAGTGGCGTGGTTTAAACAAGGAGGAAGTTCACTTTTCTCTCACATGAGAGACGAGCAGTCCAAGATATGCTGAGAGGCTGACTTGAGCCAAACAAAATGGCAGGATGAGGGCATCTTGTCAACATGTGGCTTTCATCTCCAGGTACAAACAGTTCCTCCAATTCTTACCTCTTTTCCAGTGGAAAGACAGGACCCGTCTTTCTTAGAGACGTGAGCCCGAGTGGCACTTAGCTTCCGGCTACATCTCAATGCCCAGAATTTAGTCACATGTCCACGTCAAGCTGCAAGGGAGGCTGGGAAATGTCATCTCTAGCTGGGTTGCCCTGATAAAGCTCACACATTCTAGTATTAAATAAGGGAGAATACAGCCAAAGTGCCCATCAGTAGATGAATGGATAAAAAAGCGGTGGGACATTTACACTATGGAATACTATGCAGCTGTAAAAAAGAGGGATCTCTTACCCTTTGGGACAGCATGGATGGACCTGTAAAATATTATGCTAAGTGAAATAAGCCAAACTGAGAAAAACAAATATCACATGATCTCACTTATTTGTGGAATCTAATAAACAAAATGAATTGACCAACAAAATAAAACCCAGAGCATGGAGGCATGGAACAGACTGACACACCTCAATGTGGGGTTGGGGAGACGAGAAGAGATTAAACCAAAGAACTTATACACTTACTAGAGGCCTGGTGCATGAAATTTGTGCACAGGGGTGAGGGGGTCCCTCAGCCCAGCCTGCACCCTCTCCAATCCAGGACCCCTCAGGATAGGGCCTAAATCAGCAGTCAGACATCCCTCTCACAATCTGGGACCGCTGGCTCCTAACCACTGACCTGCCTGCCTGCCTGCCTGATTTCCCCTAACCACCTCTGCCTGCTGGGCTGATCGCCCCCTAACTGCCCTCCCCTGCTGGCCTGATCGCCCCTAATTGCCCTCCCCTGCTGGCCTGATCGCCCCTAACTGCCCTCGCCTGCCAGTCTGATCGCCCCTAACCACCTCTGACTCGGCCCCCGCCACTGTGACTTTGTCTGGAAGGATGCCTGGAAAATGTCCAGTCTATCTGGTCTAATTAGCTTATTACCCTTTTATTAGTATAGATTTATGAAGCAAGCATGCTTATTTGTTTCCCTGTTAGTGACAGCAGTGTTAGACCTTCTTGTAATACTATCAACAATAAAAATATATTTAATAAATAAAGGGAGAATGGATACTGGTGACAACTAAAATCACTGTCACCATTTTTCAATTTATCTGCATAGTCATCTGTTATGGACTGAATTGTGTCCTCTCCAAAATTTATATGTTGAAGCCCTAACCCCCTGGTTCCTTAGAATCTATAATAATAAAAGGGTAATATGCTAATTAGACCAAACGTCCTTCCAGGCATCATTCCAAACATCCTTCTGGACGAAGCTGGGGCCAGAGTGAAGCCCAGGTCCCGGGTGCCAGAGGGAAGCTGGTGCCGGCAGCCGGGGGAAGGAAGGCCTACTCTTGCATGAATTTTTGTGCATCAGGCCTCTAGTATGACTATATTTGGAGATAGAGACTTTAAAGAGGTAATTAAGATTATGTGAGGTCGTAAGGGTAGAGCTGTTTCTGTTTAAAATGTACCTTTTGTCAGCTTTGAAGCCTTCTCCAAAATTCTAAAGCACCAAAATGTCCTATGCAATTAACAGTTACAAATAAATTTGGCTCTGAGTTTTTTTGGCAAGCAGGTAAACCCATGTCTTTAGCCTCAACAGCCTATGACTAAGGCTATAGTTCCCTTTATATACACAAACTACTGCATATCTGTGTAGCTAGGTCAAAAATTTAACAAATGATTATTCAGATGTGATGAAAATGGTGTCTCTATTTTCCATAACCAGCATAATTTTTTTCAAGTTCTAAAGTTGAACAGGAAAACAAAGTTCACCCAGAAGCCAATGAGCATGCACAGGGCCCCCCAAGGACCACTGCATACCGCTATGAGGTTGACTCATTCCATGCTGCCAGGAAGTTCTATAAACTCCTGCTCACACAGAATCCATTTGACAGAGGGAGGAAAGGAAAGATCCTTGAATGACTGAGCATTTACTTAAATGAGACTGTTTTGATTTGTAACACAACGGTTAAACCAGAGGAGACTGAGCTATCTGGCATCATAATCAGCAGGTTTGAGCACCACCTCAGCCCCAGCCTGCTCCCCAACTCAACTGAAACATGGCTGTTGTTAAGTCTTTCTTTTCTTTTTTTAACTATATTTTTATTGATTTCAGAGAGGAAGGGAGAGGGAGAGAGAAACAGCAATGATGAGAGAATCATTGATCAGCTGCCTCCTACATGCCCTCTAATAGGGATCAAGTCTGCAACTTGGGCATGTGCTCTGACTGGGAATCAAACTGTGACTTCCTGGCTCATAGGTCTACGCTCAACCGCTGAGCCACGTCAGCCGGGCGTGAAGTCTTTCTTGAACACATAGAGATAATGCGAGCACTTAATAACTTAATACCAGGGTGTTCATAGGACCCATGTTTATGATGGTTTCCTAAGTTAGGTTTCCTGGCCTATTTTTTTTTAAGTTTTCACGTCATTGTTTTCAGTGGTTAGTGTTAATTTCACATTAAAAGCAGCTCTGATGTTAGCCCAAAAAAGTCCATGTTTGCTTTTCTCCTTCGGCCATTCCAAATAAGTTCGTTGTGCCATGAGGGCCTTCAGCTTGTGATACTTGCTAGGAATGCTGTTCTGTGGAATGGGGTCCAGCAAGATCAGAATTAAGTTATTAGATCCTTCATGAAAGAGATTGTGGTGGGCAAAGTAGAGTTCATAATGGCACCACTCGCTCTGAACAAAGTTGGGAGACAAAACAAAGATGGACTTGTAACTTTTCTCAATACAGTTTATGATATTTTCCACAATGCTCTTGCCAGGAACAAAGTTTCTCTCATGCAGACAGATCCGTATATCTTCTTTTTCTAGGTTTGGTAGTAATTCATTCTTCACCCAGGCAGAATCGTGTTCACTGTACGAAATAAAGGCATGGAACTGAAGAGTTCTTTGGAGTTTGTGTAAAGGTGTGTTCCTGGCCCTGTGTCGGGTCTGGGTCCACTGACACACCATCCTGAGATACCAGGGCAGATCGAAATAGACACAGAGGACAGTCACGGCGACAGCCAACACCAGCCCAGTGACCCCAATGGTGACAATCAGCAGAGCTGTGTTGCAGGATAATGGAGACACATGAAAGTCCTTTAGTAGGGTTCCCTTATAGCTTTCTGGATAGTCACACTTATAAGAGTCAGGCCAACCCTCTACCACTTCACTGGAAACTTGGCCTATACTTCGGATAAATTCTCTGAGCTCACATGTACATTGGAATGGATTGTTTCCTGCGTTTATGGACCTAATCTTCTGGCAGCTCTGGAAGAAATGAGCTGATGGGTTGGAAATTGAATTATAGTCAATGATCAGCACAGAGAGGCTGCTGAAGGAATCACATCCAGGAAGGTGGGCTAAAGAATTGGAAGCAACATTGAGTTCTTGCAAAGCTTCCAGACGGATGACATTTTCAGGGATACTTGTTATTCTATTACTGTGAAGATCAAGAACCCTGAGCCTGGGAGGTAAACATCTGAAAACAGAGTCAGTGAGTATATTTGAAGACAAATTTAACACCTCTATTCTCTCAGCCCAAGTGCAATTTCTGTTGCGTCCATCATATTCCAAAGAATTCCAGCTCACATCCAGCATTTCCAAAGATGGCATATCCTTAGTCATGAGACCTACTTTGAAAAGGTCTTTTAATTCATTCTTTTGTAAGATCAATGTCTCCAATCTAACTAAAGTGGAGCATTCTTGGAAAATACTATCAGTCAAAACATTCTGGGTAAAGTTTAAAAACTTAAATGTGCTTGGTGCTTGAGGACAAAGCATGTGTATAAAAGGTGTGTCTGATATGGTTAACATCATAATGTTCATCTCAGAAAGCACAGTGTATAATACTGTCTGTGAAAAAAGAAAAACTTTGTTTGTAATATGTTCAATTTTCAACGCTTTCAATGATGTTTCAGAATACGTAAAATCTTCTTTATCAATCTTTTCAACTATTGTTGCATTGTAAATACTGAGATATTCTACAGGTTTGGGCCAAAGGAATTGAAAAACTCTAACCAAACATTTCCAAGTTGTTTCCACATGGTTGAGGGTAATATTTACTAAGTTTGGACCTCTAGTTAGTTCTGATAAAAATGTAATTAAAATGTGACAGTTCTCATCCTTCAGTCTAATATTACTCAGTTGTAAACACCCTACATTATTAACTGATATGTTTGCTTGGACAGAGAAGAAATTATTTGGGTGAAAAACGAGGTGAAGTGATTTTGTATTCAGAATTTGAAGACTTTCTGTCTCATGTTCTTTCACATAATAACCTTCCAACTCCAGAAGGATGCCACTTAGATGCAAGTGAGCAACCGGTAGCAGATCTAATTGTTGTAAATGTTTAGCACTTAATCCCAAGAAATTCAGTTGAGTCAAGTTGCCAAATTCCTCACAGATGGGCAGGGCATCGAAGTCATTGAATGAGAGGTCTAAATGCTTGAGACTGGTGACAGCATGGCAGGATATCTTCTGCAACTGATTGTGCGATAAATCCAAGTATTCCAAATCCTGGTTGAACTTGAAAATACTAATATCAAGGTACTGGAGTCTATTATGGGAAAGCTTCAAAACTCTGAGTCCCGAAAGAAAGCTGATGTCAGAGAGGTGAAGCTCAGATATGTAGTTTTGAGACATATCTAAGACTATGGTTTTGGGTGGCAGGCCTTTTGGAACATGAGTAAGGCCTTTGTTTGACTCATTTACTGCAAATTCACTTTCAGCAGAGAACTGGATTATGGTTCCAAATATTAAGGTTATCATGCAAACAAAATGAAAGCTCCTGACAATGGGTTCTTTGTCCTTGGTCATGATGTTGAAGCAGCTATCCCCCGAAGGGCTGTCACTGTTCTTCAGAGCATCTTGATATGCATCCAAATCCTAGAAATATAACATACATTAAGATATATAGTGGGTAATTGCTCTCAAACCTCTACTTACTAAACACAGTCGTAATTATTTCTTTATTCACCATCAGAGTCATAATGCTGCCTGACTCCCACAGGGCATCCTGTGAGCGGCAAGGCAGCTATGATGGCCACAGGGCAGCCTCCTGTGCTACACTGGAGTGCCCACAATCATGCCTGCCTGGAACCACCTCCAGGTACAAGTTAGAGGTGCTCTTACCGGCTGGCAAAGGGCATTGAGATAACACATTTACTCCGCTCTTTCTGGTCGCAGGAAATGTTTTAGTCACAGGGCCTTATTTTTGACACAATTCCCATGAAAATGGATATGTGTTTTCCCAACTCACAGTAGACCAGAAGCAACCCATTCAGAGAGATGGGATTCAGCACTGATAATCTGAAAACATCAAGCACCTACAGTTAACACACTGATAAAACAGGAAAATATAGATAAATATTAATAAGTACTCTGGAGAAGTCAGAGGCATGGCAGGCTAAAGCTACTGTATATAAGAGAGAACAATATAGACATTGAAGTTCATGACAATCACTGATTGAGATTACTTGGCAGGTGCACGAGACAACAGACCCCATATTTGTGACCAGAACAAATGGTTGGAATTTTGAGGCTCGCTGGACCTCATTCAGGATCTGATCTGTGCGCGCACGCGCGCGCGCGCACACACACACACACACACACACACACACACACACACATATCTAGGAGCCCCTAGGGAACAAGAACAGGCAACATTTCTTAAGTAGGGCTTTGTGTAGCTGGAATAATCAGAGCAGATTTTGACTAGTTAGTTGTTCAGTTTCATTAACAAAAAGATCTGCTGTTCATCACCTGAGGATGTATTGGAAATAGTAAAATAGTTATGAGATGAGTAGGGTTTCAATTAATCATTCGTTGGAAGAGTAAATACTCTTCCGGGTTGGCGACATATCATTACAAAATGGCTTTTTTTCCCTTTTAAATTATTTTTATTATAAAATTATTTAAATATGTACAAACATGAAGCAAATGTGTATTGAGTGCTTGGGCACTATTCTAGGCATTGGTGACAGACTATATCCCTGACCTCTGGGAGTTTGTAATGTGGCAGAACTATAATTATAAGTGGACCAGGCCACTTCATTTCTTTCCTTTTCTATTTTTGGTCAAATTATTTTTTCTTAATCCCTTTACCTTTTTCGCCCAATTCCCCAACCTCCCTCCCCTCTGGCATCCATCAGCCTGTTCTCTGTTTCTATGAGTCTGTTTCAGTTTTGTTTGTTCATTTATTTGGTTCTTTAGATTTCACATGTAAGTAAGATCATATGGTTTTTGTCTTTCTCTGACTGACTTATTTCACTTAGCAAAATACTTTCTAGGTCCATTCATGCTGTTGCAAATGGTTAAGATTTCATTCTTTTTTATGCCCAAGTAGTGTGTGTGTAGTGTGTGTGGTGTGTGTGTGTGTGTGTGGGGGGGGTGTTGAGCTTTTTTACCCACTTGTCTGTTGATGGGCACTTGGCTATTATAAACAACACTGCAATAAACATAGGAGTGCATATATTCTTTTGAATTAGTGTTTTGGAGTTCTTTGGACATACACTGGAGGTGGAATTGCTGCATCATAAGGCAGTTCCATTTTTAATTTTTTCAGGAAACTCCATAATGCTTTCCACAGTGACTGCACCAGTCTGCATTCTCGCCAACAGTGCACGAGGGTTCCCTTTTCTCCACATCCTCACCAACACTTGTTATTTGTTGATTTATTGATGATAGCCATTCTAACAGGTGTGCTGTGACACCTCATTGTGATTTTAATTTGCATTTTTCTGATGGTTAGTGACATTGAGTATCTTATCATATATCTGTTGGCCCTCTATATGTCCTCTTTGAAGAAATGTCTATTCAGATCCTCTGCCCACAAAATGGCATTTTTTTAAAAAAGCTAATTATACTTTAATTTTTTAAAAAATGGTATATGGTTAAAAGCCCCTCACCTCTCTTCCCCTACAGCCTCTCCCAATTGACCACCAAAACACCCATGAAAACACAGAAACACTTGAAAACCCACCTTGCCACCTAAAACTAAGAAAGATGGAAAATTAATGGCAAGATCCAAAAGCATCTACATTCATGAAAACGTAACTGAGGTGTAGTAAGGAAAATCCAGTGTATTCAAGTTTTGTCTCAGGAAAACGGACTCCACGACAAAAGGTATGAACACATTTTGTCCCTTTGTGTTTGTCTCTCATTCAAATACCAAGAATGAGTAACAACCAGGTAATTACCCAGTGGTACTGATGTGAGTGGATCACAACACTGAGTTTTCCTTCTGCCAGCCACTATCCTCCACCTCTTCATCACACAATAATGAACACTCTTAGGTAAAAGCTGGGCAAGAGGTACTCTTACTACTTCTAGTCAACATAATACACTGGAAGTCCTAGCCAAAGTAATTAGGCAATAAAAAGAAACAAAAACATCCAAATTGGGAAGGAAGAAGTCAAATTATCTCTGTTTGCAGATGATATGAACTTATATGTAGAGAATCCTAAAGACTCCACACAAAAACAAACTAACTAATAAACAAATTCAGTCAAGTAGCAGGATACAAAACCAACATACAAAATCAACAGTGTTTCTATACACTAACAACAAACCACCTGGAAAAGAAATAAACAAAACAATTCCATTTACAATTTTATCAAAAGAACAAAATATCTCAGAATAAATTTCACCAGGAAGGTGAAAGACCTATACACTGAAAAGATAAGACATTGATGAAAGAAATTGAAGACACAAATAAATGAAAAGATATCCTGCATTCATGGTTCAGAAGAAACAATATTGTTAAAATGTCCATTCTACCCAAAGCTATCTATATATTCAATGCAATAGTTATCAAAATTTCAATGATATGTTTCACAGAAATAGGGAAAAAATTGAAAAATTCCTATGGGACCACAAAAGATCCCAAATAGCCAAGCAATTCTGAGACAGACAAAACTGAAGGCATCACACTTCCTAGTTTCAAACTATATTACAAAGTTATAGTAATCAACACAGTATAATGTGCACATAAAAACAGACACATAGACCAATGGAACAGGATTGAGAGCCCAGAAAGAAATCCAGGCACAAACTAATATTTGACAAGGGAGTAAAAAAATACTCAATGGGGAAATGGCAGTCTCTTCAATAAATGGTGTTGGAAAAACTGTATATGTACATGCAAAAGAATGAAATTTGATGCCTATCTTATCCCACTCACAAAAATTTACTCCAAATAAATTAAAAACTTAACTTTTAAGAACTAAAACAAAAAGACTCCTAGAAGAAAACACAATGTCAGGTTCTTCTAGAAGAAAACCTGACATTGGTCTTGGCAATAATTTTTTGGATCTGGCAACAAAAAGGAAAATTGTTTAAGAAGTGGGGCTATATAAAATTAAAAGGCTTCTGCACAGCAAAAGAAACAATTAACAAAATGAAAAGTCAACCTTGTGTAGAAAATGGTTTAATCAATTATGGCACACTCATAACATGAATAACATGCTGTCTCAAATATTGCACTTTTGGAAAAAACTAATGTTTACAATATAATGTTAGGTGAATATAAGAATACAAAATTGTATATGTGGTAGGACTCTAATTTTGCAAAACATGAGGAAAACCTGATGTATAAGCAAAGCCTAGGGGCAAAAAGAATGGGAAGAAATATATCAAATGCTAATAGTAGTTATATCTGGATTTCTGAATCCTAGATAAAGTTAATTTTCTTTCCTATGCTTTTGTATATTTCCAAAGTTTCTAATTTTGAACATCTTTTAAAAATCAAAAACGGTTTGTCTTAAAATACAGCTAACATAAAAACAGTTTATATTTAAAGAAACATGCTTGTATTATTTGTATAAAGAAAGAACTCCTTCCACATAATGCTCGATAATTGACATTTATGAATGAGAACCTACCTAGAGGTCCCTCTCTGGTGTCTGTGGTCAGGGGACTGAAACTTAGCCACTGTGTGAGCAAGTTGATCAGCTACCCTGCCCCCAAAAGATAGTATTCCTTCAGGGGCCTTTATACCCTCAAGCAGTTCCCAGTGTATACACTTAACAAACCAGCCAGGAGCTTTTATATTTAAGAAAAAATAAAAGAGAGGAAAAGGGGAGATGAGAGTGGATGACTACAGAGTTCACTACTTTTTTTCCAGGAAGTAAAAAGAGGTAGGAGGAAAAGTTGTTGTTTTTTTCTTTTTCTTTAATGCATGGAATGAAAAGAGGGAGGAAAAAGACAGATGGAAGAAGCTCTATTTCAAGAAAAACACCATAGTGGATAGGATCTGTGAAAATTAAGACTACAAGAAAGGGGAGATAAGAAAAACATTGAGGTAAGAGTGATTCCATAATCGAGTCAACAAGTGTGCCAGAGAAATATTGCTTTATTTGTCAAAGTTTAGGTGAGGGACGCAGAGAAAGGCAAGTCCTCGGTCAGTGCCTTCCACTCCTTCATTTAATAACTGTTTATTCAGAGTGTAGTATGTGCCAGGACTTTGCTGGGCGTTAGGTGCTGGGGAAAGAAATATGAATAGCACTGGCATAATCCCTGCTTTCCAAATGCTTATAAATTAGTGGCAGATACAAATAAGCAATTATAGAATTATGTGACAGGGGACATAAAACACTCATGCCTACTATAAAGATACATAAGATGTAATAGGTGCCGTCGCAGTGGCAGAAAGTACTGTAAACGTTACTGAAAACAAGGAACTAGAGAAAGGTGAAAAGAGAAAAATGTAGTAGACAAAAGCAGAAGAAATAAATCTCATCGGTTAGATTTTCCCTTAACTATGACTACACGTGCTATTTTTGTACCTTTGGGAGACAGTCCGATCTTTACCTTTCTTGTATATTTAAAAGGACATCTGCAACATTTAAAAAAACACACACACTTAAAATCACCTTGCAAAAATGTCAAAGAAACATTACCTATTTCCTAGACAATCATTAGTATTTTCTTGCTTGTTTGAAGAAATTATGCCATAATTTGAAAAAGCTACAAAAGCCTGCTTACTTACCCAGATTTCTTTCTCAGAAGGAAACAACGTCTAAAGGCGGAAAAATAAGTGCTTGACAAAGTGGAAGTCCTTAGTTTAAGTAAAGCAATACTGTAGATACAGTATTGTGCCATCTGTAGGACCTTCCTGGAATTACTCCTACATGTGAATTTCCCTTTCAAGGGTCACTGTGCAAAGCATATGACTCAGCAGGCTTTTATGGGCTACAGACTAAAATAGTCATCAAAATTTAATTCATTTGAGCAAGAAGTTATGACCATATCAGTGTGAAGAAAACTTTTTTAAGGTAATATTTATCTGTAAGAGCTGTAACCTGGATGTGAAATTGTCACCGGAGGGGAAAGTTATTGAACTTGGTCTGTTTTCTATTATCACCATACTTAACTTTTCCAAAGTAACTGCAACTACGGTTATCAAGCAGTTTTGGAGCACTGTCTTTCTGGATAAGATACTTTAAAATAAAATAAGCTTAAGTCCAAGATTTTTTTTTAAAATCAATTTTCAAGAAAAGCTTAGTAGTTGATACATATATAGCCACACCTAGAGGAAATTGCATCCTGTTTCCCACATTCTGACCAACATTTAGTATTATTAGAGGCTTTAATTCTAGATCCTAGAATAATAAATAACCGGTTTGGCTCAGTGGATAGAGAGAGCATCAGCCTGTGGACTGAAAGGTCCCAGGTTCTATTCCGGTCAAGGGCATGGACCTTGGTTGCGGGCACATCCCCA